AGCGCTAGCGTCGCCGAGGTTTGTCCCTGGGAAACAGAAGAGGCTCCGTCAGCATCTGACAAGACCAGCACGGACACGAGGAAAACCTCCGAGGTGTGTCCGTGGGAGGTGGAGAGCGTGGATCCCACCCCGACCCTCCGCGGGCAGGGCAGAGCCGGGGTGAGCCCCCAGGATGGAGGCAGGGGTGTGAGTGAAACCAAACCAGACGTCTGCCCGTGGGACCACGAGTAGCTCCCTCCGTCCGGCCACCAGCCGGGGTGCAGACACCACTTTCAGGAGCAGAAAGTCTTGAGCTGAAAGCTGCTGCCTACCTGCACGGCCTGGAAGGGGGGACCGAAGCGTGCACCAACACCAACGGCGCTGCCACACGCCATGGGGGCTCCTGTGGTGGCCGTCAACCGGCCAGGCTTGGGGACCGACGCAGCGAGGGGACGGTTACCACCTCCTGCCTTCATCGAAGCTCTGAGCCAGGCAGCAGCCTGCAACCACCACCCCGCCCGGCACAGGGCCCCCTTGGTCCAAGCGGGGCACCCAAATCTATTCAAACCCCCGTCGGGCCGACCTTGCTCGCTCCCGTCAACGCAGCGGACACAAAGCTGCGCCTCGCCGGCCAGAGACGCAAGCTGGACAATGAAGCAAGGGGAGAGTCAAACCAGGAGCTGCCAAACAACGCAACTGGGGAGGAAAACGGCTTTTCCGCGTTCCCACAGCCCAGCTGATCTCCCCCAGCGCTGCTGTCACCTCTATTTTAAGCCAGGGCGGTTCCTGTGAGCCCCGCTAGGACCAGGTCCTGAAGCCGGGGATAAAGAGCTGTTGCTCCCAGCCAGCCCCATGACACGTTTTGCTTCCTTGATCCAAAGTCATTTATTTTTAAATATCCTCTGAAGTCACCGAGGCAGCCACGGGGCTCCCACGCACACAAAGCAAACCTTTCTACTCTGTTTTGGCCCAGCGACGGCAGCCCAGGGCTCGGACACCGCACTTCGGCGATGCTCACCGTCCTCTCTGTCCCCTCGCTCGACCTGGGTGGGATAAACCCACCTTCAGGCCACCCCGCTGCTCTGCTTCTAGAAACCTTCCCATGCACAGAGGCCGAGACGGGCTTTCCCTCTCCTAAGCTCCTCTCTGACTAACTTTACAGCACGGCTACGCTTCTAACTCGCAGCAGCTCAGCTGTGAAGGTGTTTGTCTTAACTACCAACGCCGCTAACTCTTCAAAGCACTTTCTCACGACTGGTTTCTTCTCCTGCACCGCGTGTGCACGTTCACCACGTGTGCAAACACGCCCAGGGCTCACCTTCCCACCACGGGAGAGTTTCTTCCATCAACGTTTCCGCCGGCAGGAGCAAGCCTTCACTTTTACAGCCCATCTGCAGAAGCGCCGGATGCCTTTTGTCATCCCCCGTTCCAACCTCTCCCTCTATTTGCAAGGCCCATTCCTTTGGGGCAGAGATGGAAACGGACTCCTGGATGACAGAGAAGGTGCTGAGATCCTGGATGACAGAGAAGACGTGGACACCACGGAGGCACTCCCACCTCCAGAGCACCAGATGGGGTTTGCCATTACTCACTCACAAATGCACACGGGAAGGGACGCAGCCGTACGTCAGGGTCGGGAAGGCAGCAGCGGGGAAGCAAGAAAGCCTCCAGCCTCCCCAGATTTGTCCCTCCGCTCCCCTTAGATGGCAGCAAACGAAAACACAGCCAGCAGAAGGGAAGGTTTCGGTTCTCCCTCCGATCTCCACGCGAGGCTGGGGCTCAGGGCTCGTCCTGCCGGTCCTTTGTGGTTTTATTTCCACCCTCCCTAGAAAGCGGCGTTGCCGTAGCGTGCTGCTGCCTGTGGTCTCCGGCGCCGACCGTCAAACCATCACCCAACCGTGTAAGTAAGTGTACATACAGAAAATAAAAGGTATTATCTACCGAGTGCCTGCTTAGTGCCTGATTTATGGGGTGGGGGCAAGATACCAGATATGCTCGAGGAAGAGGTACGGCAGAAAGCAGCGAGGCTGCGAAGGAAGCCCAGAAGTGGTTTAGGTGCAGAGGTCTGAATATTGGCAAAGGAGATTCGGAGCTACACGCTGCTAGGCTGGAAGGAAAGGCCATTCTCCCAGGAAAGGCAGCCACTCCACCAGAAAACACGCTCTTTCCCCTCAAAGCCAGAGCTGAAGAACCTTGTCTGTTGGTCCTAGTTGAGGAGTCAGGTCCGTACCTGCTCGTGAGCTGCCCGAGGCACACCAGACACAAGCCAGGCCGCTCACGCTCATTTATTTTAGCTCCTCGCCCAGCTCACAGGCTGGAGCGACGAATCCCTCTTCAGCTCGTGAACGAAGCGTAGGCAGAAGGCTCAATATAGTAGGTTCTTTCAGGAAAGGCAGACAGATTGTGACACCCCTCCGATTTCCAAAAAGATGAAAGGGATTCCATCGCTGGCTCCTCTCCTAACTGAGGATAAAGCTGATATTCTGCCCTTTGAAAAGAATATCATTCACCAGGAAGGCCGAGCAACTCCGCAAGCATAAGGAGCTGTAACTCTTTTACAGCACGCTCCGTAAAATCTTTCAAGGAAGAAGAAAAAAAATGCACTTAACCCTCCCAAGCTCTGGAAAACAGCCGAGTTAAAAAGCAAGACAAGGTTGAAAAAGAAAATGCTTTGTTGTTTCAGGACCAGTGCATATTTTGCTCAGTGACTGGAAGCAAATGGCACTTCTCTGAGCAAAACAGAGCAAGAACAGATCAGCAAAGCAGACTGGCTTACTCCCAGCCATGGAAAAAGGTAACCTCTGGGCGCGCGTTTTCCCGACCTACACAGCCTGCAAACCCAGGGGACGCGATGCAAATGTCACCGTGTCCACAGGATGGTGCCAGCCACTCACCAACAACATCCCATCGGGGAGTTGTCTGTAACAAATGCACCAAAACCCACCAGCTGTGAGAAACGCTGCCTTGCAAGAAGGCGCTGGTTGGCAATAACTCTGACCGTCGGAGTCAAAATCTTTTATTAAATTATCAGCGCTGCGCTGCAGCCCCGTGGGGAGGCTTGGCCGGGAACAAGCCCCTATTCAGGACTCCAGTTGCAGTACCCGCCCAGAAGAATCTGATTTAAAGTGTGCTTGCTGCTCTTCCCTGGGAAGAAGCCTGGGAATCAGTACAGAGAGGGAAAAAGGAAGCGCCAACACCTCCTGCTGCAAGTTTTAATGAAAGCCCACCAGGTCTGTGACGCTTCCCATGGAAGCGCCAAATATCCCACGTCTGGACAGATTTCTGCTGCCGAGAGCTCTCGCGATGCAAGTTCAGGGCAGAAGTTAGCCTGGAGAGAGGTCCTGAAGAGAGCTGAGCTCTCCTCTCCGCAGGAACACGGAGAGGGTTACGCTGCAGCACACTGAGTCTACTTGGATAGAGCAAAGCTCCTCTCAGAGCTCATCTGAACCTCCCTCCCAGGCCCCTCTTGCTCCTTTAAGGACAACTTCTTAGTGACTCAAGTCCACTCCTGAAGCCTCTTTCTTTTTTGTTGACTGCTCACTGGAAAGGCACAGCCACATCCAACCAGCTGCCTCCACGTTCACCACTTCTTCCCTCCGGGGCTGTCCGTGCTGCCGTCCCTGCGCAGGCTCTGGAACTTCCTACTTCGTTTCTTCATACTCTTGTGAGGGATCCAAGGTCGGGCCAGGAATCATCACCGTCTGAAAAAAAGCACGGAGTAAAATCAGCACGACCCAGAGCAGCTCTGAACTGCTCGAATTAGGAATTCTCCACGTGACAGAGCGTGAGAAAGGGTGAGGAGGGGGCTCTGGCAACGCAAGGGCCTTGCACAGCACGACGACCAGACGGCAGCAGCACGGGGGAGGACACCGAGGGCGAGCGGGACGACAGGCCTTGCGCTACGCTGCGGTTCTCACCTCCTTTCTCTCTAGGCCCTGTTTTCAGGAGCAGAGGAAGCCAGAGCACCCACACCTCTTTGCCAGGCTACGTCCAGGGAGCAGGAACCCCCTAAATTATCACCTACAGCAACGCCCAACCCAGGTCAAACGCCCTCAGGCTCCTATGACAGCTTCGGGGTGCTAGAGGCCCATAACGCCTCGTTAATCAAGAGGTCTGCTTGCAGATCAACCCACCACCTCCCCGTTACAGGAAACTCAGCTTTGGTTTTGTCCAGAATTAACTAACTGTTAATTATCAAATGATAAGACAAACTGACAGTGTATAGCATTTGGTCTATATTTGATAGATACCAAAAGAGAGGATTTAAAAATCAGTTTTGTTTAATTTAACGTATATCCCTTTTTTTCTTATTTTTAAGACTGCCATATTGCAACCTTTAAGCTTTTTGTTTTCTAAGCTGAGTTGCTATATTGACATTTCTTACTCAGATACTGAACCCAGCCAGGCAAACCCACAACTCAGCTACCCCCTTTCAGGTGCTGACAAGAGGATGAACTACAGCTTCCAGGTGGCTAACACGAGCTGAGCCACGGCGTGCTAACACAATAGAACAGAAACACGGCATAAAATACCAGTGAACAAAATAAAACAAAGCAATTCGAGTCAAGGTTAATTTCAAAAAGCTTTCTTTGGACCAGATAATCAGGCACGAGCTTCGGCCAAGGCGGCTGCCAAGCACAATAAGCCTCATCCCA